TCAAAGGTTTACACAAATACACAGACCACATTTCTCCAATCTCCAAGCAAGCCAGGCTTGAGAAGGGTTGCAGAGGAGGTCTGCTGAAGGGTGAGTCCTGGGGAGAGTCCTGAGGACCTATAGAGAAGCCTGGAGGCCTGCCTTGGGCATCCAGGCCTAAAGTTCCACATTCCTGCCCTGATGGAGAGCATGAGTCAAGTGAAGATCACTGCTCTACTTCTTCACTCTTGATGATGCTTCCATGCTTAGAGAGGAGCAGGCAGTGATAGCACAGCAAGGAGAAACAGTCAGGAGTCTCTGGCAGTGCCCCCCCTTGCAGTGGTGGTGATCCTCAGATGGTATCTGGTACTGGCCTCTGATGCTGTTGTTTGATTGTTGAACAAGATTGCCTACTCTGGGGTGAGCTGGAAGAGACTGAACTGAATCAGAATGTTGTTTTTGTAGTTTAATTGCTGGCACATTTCCCCTGAGGGAAAATATAGATGTTCAGGAAATGTGGAAATCAGTGTAGCAGTAAACTATTCTTAAATCCATTGTGTGCTACAGCCCTGTAGGTTTCTGACCTATCAGGCAGAGCATGGTGTGACGTAATAGCTAATGAGCTGATCCACAAAAATGTCATGTGAGACTGTCAGCTAACTTACAGATGTGATACAGCTGCCTGAACAGAACAGGAACACCCCCCCCCACAACTGTCCTGTTTTCTTGCTTTCAGAAACAGTGGCTTAGGTGCCATGGGTCATGGAAGATAAAACACCCATTTCTGCAGCTGCACCCATGTCTCCAACATCATAGAGCCACCCAATCAGCATGAAAGGGGAGCTTTTAATCCACTGAATGCCCCCAAACCAAGAATTTAGGAAGACTGAAAGCACAAGGTGCTTCAGTTTCAAGAGAATGGTGGTGCAAGGTCTGTTGTGTACAATGGAACTTAGTGGAAAACAAAACTAAAGTCACTCCAAATGAAGCAATTAGAGCACTCCAAATCATTTGCCTATGTATGTGCACAGAAAATAATAGATCTAGCTGAAAGGCATTGCAATGTGTTGTTGTATTGTATAATCTTAGAAGGCTGAGGGGTGTGGCTGTGAGGGGTGTGTGGTTCTGGCTATTATGAAGAGGCCCTGCACTTCTGAATTTGACACTACACTACTGTTTCTCATTGAGTGTTGAAAAACCGTGGATGGACACATTGCCTGCACTCAGCTGATACTGTTTTTAGTTGCACACTGTGGGTGAATAGGCAACTTTTGCACTGGATTCCTGTGCTAGGCCAGCAAGAAACTGCTGGACTCAACTCCTGGATGTGCAAGGAATAAGGCCCATCTTGTAGTCTTCATGGAAGCATCTGTAGGAGGAAACAGGATACAGGACTTGATGGCTTGATCCAAGAGGAATCTCTTATGTTATGATATATAAATATGGGAAGTTGCCTTATACCAAATCAGAGCCTTGGTCCAAATAGCTCATATTATCTACTGTACACTGATCAGCAACATCAGACATGAGTCTTTCCCAGCTTTACCTGGAGTTGCCAGGGATGGGCTCTTTTGAATGCAGCACAAGTGGTCCACCACTGAGCACAACCCCTTCTTCCAAGCTCTGGCTTGTGCTAGACATAAACCAGGTTAGGGAGGAATATGGCCGTGTACTGTAAGCTGCTTCCCATTCTAGGGCCTCTCAGTACAGCAGAAGTGAGCCTTGTAAGTGGATAAATCACTAGGCCAATCTTCAACACTGTGTCATCAACCCTATCCACAATATAGCACAAACCAAAATGGCCATTTGATTATACCATTGTCATATTTATCATTTCTGCAGTGTCTCATCCCCCAACGCGGAAATAATCTTTACAGTTCTTTTGTCATTTACTCTCTGAATGACAACTCTACTCAGCTCCAAGTTTGCAACCTGCTCCAGGTCTGCCCATCCAAGTTTTAAGGCTGGTGGAGTAATTTTGTTCACCTAGAACTGGCAGGCATAAACTGTGAACCTGGAATTGAAAAAAGGAAGGTTGTCAATTCACAGAACAAGGCTGTGCCCAGCTGGGTGGCTCAGGGTTTCAGACAGCACCTCTTGGGTAGCATATGGATAAGCACTCAGAAGAGGTGCTGCTTGCCTTGAACAATAATTGTGACTTTTGTATTTTGAGATCCTTATCTGGAGGGTGTTTTGAAATATAGGCTCCTGGCTCTCTCCATCGGCTGCTCTGGAGAGGGCCTTGTCATCTGCTGGCTGGCAGTGTGGGTGTCTTCTCACATGTTACTTACTGCAAACTCACTTGTTTTTAAATGTGCCAGATGAAAATGTAAACAGAGCAGCAGATTTCCATCTGATTCATTTCACTCTCTAGTCCTTCCATTAATAAATTCCAGTGGTGAGTGGGAAGCAAAAGGGGAGGGGATGTGTCTCTTTCTTAAATGACAGCTTGCTCTGCTTGTTTGTTCATTGCTGGCATCTGATCATTCCCCTCCTACTAGTCCAAGTAATTATAATGCCAGAACAGCTGCTTCACAGATCCTTTCTTCCAAGCCAGCAGGAATATGGTGCTTTCGTTTTCATAGCCAGCAGTCCTTGCCTGTGAATCCACTTTTCTGCAACTGGTAAGCAGTACAGCTTGAGAGATCTGCAATCCTGCACACTTTTTCCTTTGAGGAATTTCACAGGCCTTCTTAACAAAACTTTTGAGTTTCTCTTAAAATCCTTCAGAAACAACCTTGACATGGTAACAGAGATCTTCCATTGAATCTCTTCCATTGATCTTCCAGCCCCCCTCTCAGGTAACAGTCCTGGTGCCACTCACCTGGGAGTAAGCCCATTCCATTCAATAGGACTTTTGTCTCAATAGACATGGTAACAGTGGCAGTTGTAAAATATATGCAAAAATCAGCCAGTTGGAGGCCTCATTTCAGTCAAACCCTGCCACTGGGGAGAGGGGTTAACTTTAATAGTCCATGTTGTGATGGAACAGAACCCTTGGAAATTTCAGTTTTGCTCCATTAGGATAAATGTAAACACTGGCAGAGGAAGGGGTGTGGGGTGTGTGTGTGTGGGCCGCCTTGGGTGTCATCACTGTGGGGTGTGTGTGACAAAATGACAAAAATAAGAGTTAATAATAATAATAATAATAATAATAATATTGGGCTCATGAAACTTTTTAGTTCAGCCAACAAATGTAACGAAACACGGCTGGCACTGGGCGCCACACCACGGGGGCTGGCACAGGGGCCTGCAGTGTGCCCGAGCCACGCGTCTCTCCTGGGAGTGATGTGGTGGCTTGGGCACCCGCAGGCTCCATGCTGCCTAAAACGGCAGCGTGGGACTTGTGTCTGCCCACTGCCTCTCCCTCAGCCACCTTACAGCTGAGGGGGAGGTGGCAAAGAGGCTCCACGCAGCGCGCCCCACCCCCATGGGCAGCTTGCCCCGCCCCCATCCGTACATCCCCTCCATACAGGATTTCTGTGACACACATCCAATGGAAACTGTGTGCACGCATTAGCAGAGTTCAGCAGGAAGCCAGACTGTGTAGGAATGTGGTATCATGAAGATCTTTATTATTTACAGCAAATTAAAACAAAATAACATGGCTAGTGTGAACAGCATCTCTCACACAAGTCTTGTCTGTCGGAGAGAAGAGAACAAAGAGCAGAATTTCAAAAACTTTACTTCCATTTCCACAGAAACAACAGTAAGGAATGTAAACAGTGGATCACATGATCCAGCGATGAGAGAATGAAATACTGACACTCCCATGGGCAGCTCACTCTGCCCCTGGCTGCAGGATGTGCGCACTGCACCGGGTACCTGAGCAGCTAGCTATGCTACTGTATGTAAAGTCGATTAATGTGGGACAGACAGGTGAAGAAACCACATCAGTACTAAGGGAAGAGTTTGGATTTGATATCCCACTCTATCACTACCCAAAGGAGTTTCAAAGCGGCTAACATTCTCCTTTCCCTTCCTCCCCCACAACAAACACTCTGTGAGGTGAGTGGGACTGAGAGACTTCAAAGAAGTGTGACTAGCCCAAGGTCACCCAGCAGCTGCATGGGGAGCAGCGGAGACACGAACCCGGTTCACCAGATTACGAGACTACCGCTCTTAACCACTACACCACACTGGCTCTCCAGTGAGAGATTGACTTAAAGCAGGGGTGGGAATTGTATTCAATGTAGCACTAAATTGAAATGACTTACTGGTATACTTGTTCTGCTTTCAAAATATTTTGCACTAGTGGAAGGTTGTTGCACAAGAAGATACATGAGCAGGTTGATGGTAACTTTGTTGAACAAGACATTGCTCAATGAGTTTCTTAAGAACATAAAAAGCTCTTAAGAACATAAAAAGACACTGCTGGATCAGGACAGCAGCCCATCTAGTCCAGCATCCTTTTCTCACAGTGGCCAACCAGATATCTGTGCGAAACTCACAAGCAGGATTCAGGCACAAGAGCACTCTCTCATCCTGTGGTTTTCAAGAAGCAAGTGGTTTTCAGAAGCATTACTGCCTCCAGCTGTGGAGGTAGAGCATAGCCAGCATGGCTAGCAGCCGTTAATAGACCTCTCCTCCATGCATAATCCTCTTTTAAAGCCATTTAGATTGATGACCATCATGGCCTCCTGTGGGAGTGAGTGCCATAGTTTAACATTCTCTAGTTTAATGTTGGATTCTTCCATTGTGCAACATTAAAACTCATCCATTTGCGAGTGCGAAAGCCCTTGCCCTGGCAGACAGGGAGTGTTGTATGTTGCCAAAAGGAAGCTGATTTCTACCAAGTTAGAACATTGGTTCATTTAGCTCAGTATTGTCTACACTGATTGGCAGTGGCTCACAAGGGTTTTCAGACAAGGGTCTTTCTGCCATACCTGGAGATGCTGGGGATTGTACCTGGGATCTTGCACATGCATAGCTCATGTTCTCGGCCACCTTTTCCCAAGTCTATGCCCTCCAGATTCTAAAGCATGCTTTGACCCCGTATCACAGTCCTAAAGGGATGAAGAGGCCATAGTTCAGCGGCAGAGCATTTGCTCTGCATGCAGAAGGTCCCAGGTTCAATCCTCACTGGTTCCAGGTAACACTGGGAGACAACATTGTATGAAACCCTGGGAAGCTGCCTGTCAGACATGGTCTGATGGTTTGACTAGTTATCTTCCTGTGCTTTATAGGAGAAAGGAATCATGGAGGAAGGGAGCAGAGAGACTGCGACAGAGCCCAGTCTTCTAACAGGTCAGTGTCAGGGCTAGAATCTGTGCCTCAGTTTTTCCAGGCATTGCAAACGTTAAATGCTCTTCTCAAAGCACAGCCGGGAGCTCCTGTGGCAAAACTATATTTGAAACGGAACAGGGATTACACAGTAAACAACTTAGCCAGTTTCATGTGCACTCAGACATGCATTCCACACATGCATACACACCCTTTGAAGCCGAGAAGAGGCACAGATCTCTCCAGTTGGTGAGGCAGAATGACATGTGTTATGCTGAATATGCTGACATCACAGCTGCGGACCACCTGTGAGCATACCTGCCAATAAACCACGGAAATAAAGACTGCAAACCTATTCATGTTCAAAAAAAAAAATATGCGCAGAAGGGAAAACAAAAGTGTAAGCTCAGTGAAATACTATAGTTTAAAAAGGAGCTGGTATATAGCACAGGGGAGAGAAGAGGCAGCTGCAGCCAGGAAATCTCTTCATCAAATCTTACCATCCATGATCTCAGTAACAGTGCTGCTATATGCCTGTTTACTCTGATGGAAGTCCCATAGTGATTAGTGGGGTTTACTCTTGTGGATAAGGACTGCAGCCTCATCGTGCAAACCTGCACTGCTTGCTCAGAAGTATATGTCATTTTATTCAGTGGGACCTACTCTCAGGTAAATGTGCATTGGATTGCAGCCCGGGGACCATAGGATAGATACTATTGCTGAGCCTAAGGATCTCACAATTGCAACAATAATTCTGACCCACAAGAAAACAAAGGTGATGGACCGTAGATAGCGGAAAGGCATTTTTTATTTTAAAAAGGAAGTGTTGTATCTTAGTGGCATAGCATCTGCCTTGTATGCTGGTACAATCTACATCATCTCCAGGTAGGACTAGGAATGCTCTTTGTCTAAAACCAGTCAAGGTAAATAATATTGAGCTGGATGGACCATTGGTCTGACTAAGTATAAGACTACCTTGCACACAGAAAGTCTCAGGTTCAATCCCTGGCATCTCATCAGGCAGTAGGTGATGGGAATGTGTCCTTCAACTGACGTTCTCTGCCCAATTCCTGGTTTAGACAACATTGGTTTAGATGGGCCAATTCCTTACCACAATGTAAGGAAGGTGTCTTGGGCTCCATGATGACTGCAGATGGTGACAGCAGCCACGAAATTAAAACACGCCTGCTTCTTGGGAGAAAAGAAATGACAAACCTAGACAACATATTAAAAAGTAGAGACATCACCTTGCCAACAAAGGTCCGTATAGTAAAAGCTATGGTTTTCCCAGTAGTGATGTATGGAAGTGAGAGCTGGACCATAAAGAAGGCTGATCGCCGAAGAATTGATGCTTTTGAATTATGGTGCTGGAGGAGACTCTTGAGAGTCCCATGGACTACAAGAAGATCAAACCTATCCATTCTTAAGGAAATCAGCCCTGAGTGCTCACTGGAAGGACAGATCGTGAAGCTGAGGCTCCAATACTTTGGCCACCTCATAAGAGAAGACTTTCTGGAAAAGACCCTGATGTTGGGAAAGATGGAGGGCACAAGGAGAAGGGGACGACAGAGGACGAGATGGCTGGACAGTGTTCTCGGAGCTACCAGCATGAGTTTGACCAAACTGCGGGAGGAGTGGAAGACAGAAGTGCCTGGCGTGCTCTGGTCCATGGGGTCATGAAGAGTCGGACACGACTAAACGACTAAACAACAACAACAACAACAAGGAAGGTCTCAATGTTGTAAAATTATTGTTTTGAAGGGAAGGGCTGTGGCAGAGCATGTATTTAGTAGTTAAAGGTCCCGTCTTCAGTCCCCAACATAAGAAGAGCCTGCTGGATCAGGCCAGTGGCCCATCTAGTCCAGCATCCTGGTCCCACAGTGGCCAACCAGATGCCTGTGCGAAGCCTGCAAGCAAGACCAGAGCACAAGAGCATCTTCCTGTCCTGTGGCTCCCAGCAATTGTTATTCAGAAGCAGTGCTACCAGTGACAGTATTTCCAGGTAGGGTGGGAAAAGATTGCATCTGAAACCCAATGAATGCAGATCTAGGTGGAACACTGGTCTAACTCAACACTGCATGTTCTTAAGAGGACTCAGATGCACTTCCTCCAACAGGAAAGTAGCATGTGATTCAGACTTTATATTATTTCATTTTGCATAGTCCTAAACGTGTCACTGCTACCGTTGTGCTTTTAAAAGATTTTTTTTTAATGGCAGAGCTGTGTACGTATGTATTCTTTTGGCCATAAATAATTTCTAATTTGCATAATTCATGGCACATTGTCTCAGGATTAGTTGTTTCATGATTACACGTAAGACAAATCGCTCCATAGCCTTGGGCTGATTCCACAAGGACCTATACTAACTCAGAAATATATATATATATATATGCGCAGCATTATTTAATGGTCAGTACCAAGCAATATTCTGTAATGCAGACAGTGCAGTGGAAAACAACAGCAGCAGGAAAAACCTCCAGCAATAACAGCAACAAACTCCAGTTACTGTGAGTAATAAGCTACAGTTGACTGAATAATGATAACTTTACAGCAAGTGTAGCAATATGCAGTTTTGTCAGCTCCTGCTGTTCTGGCTATGAGTGGGAAATATTAATTGGCAGCTGCAGTTTATTTCATAAGCTACTGATAATAAATCTCAAAAACAAATAAAAGGAAAGAAGGGAAAACAAACTTCATTGTGCCAGGGCACTTTTCCAGCACTGCTCATTGAAGCAGTAGTCTGCGGTCATTTTGCAGAAGCTGTGCAGATCTTGGGAGCACAAAAATATTTCCCAGTGTGGTTTAGCAGTTTTAATGTTGGAATAGGACCTGGGAGACAAGGGTTCGAATCCTAACTCAACCAGGAAGCTCATTGGCTCTCAGTCTAACCTACCTCACAGCATGCTTGTGAGGATTAAATGAGAACCAGGACCTGGGAGAACAGTGTACAAATTTCAACTCAACCAAGAAAATCACTGGGTGGCCTTGGGTCAGCCACTGTCTCTGAGGTTAGCCTGCATGGCAGGGTTCTTGCAATGATGCACACAGGCAGGAGGTAGACCGGACACTCCTCCTTGAGCTCCTAGGAGGAAAGATGGGGTCTAAATGCAGTAAAATAAGAAATAAGAAATGGCACACAAAAAATGAGTTCACTGTAGCTACATTACTGGGATGGAAGTTTATGCGGAACACCACGCAACACGTAGTTGGGCCCTCTGTGCTCAGTCTGTCTTCTTGCCATTTGACAGTTCCAGGCAGCAGATGCTTCAAAGGAAGGTACAATTAGAAAGAAATACTACACCCAAGCCGGCCGTTCTATGCTACATCACAGCGCAGTAAATCACAGCATATGATGGCTCAGTAGACAGAGTGGAAAGAAGCAGAGGACCAGGGGAAGAAAGGGCACTTGCTTCATAGGCTTTTTCTTTTTCTTTTTGATCCAGTCCGTTGCTGGAAAGGGGCTCTCTTCCTCATCCACCGCATTTCCCCCATTCCGGAAACCTGATCTGCTTTCCGCTATTTCTGTGCAACAATGGGAGGAAGAACATGCCAAAGAAGGAAGAGAGAAGGCTCTGTGGGCCTCTCAGCTGCTTTAAGGCCCAAATGAGAAGTCTCCACAGACAACTCCAGTGCTGTCTAAAATCAAATGATTGTAGAATTGGAAGGAACATTAAGGGTAATCTAGCCCAACACAACTTAAAACATTGAGATCGGAAAAAGGGAGAAACTGAAATTGACATATTTATCCACCCCTAAGTCTCCATTTTATATCACCAAAAGTGTTGGGGCACCTTAAAGGCTAACACATTTATGATGGCTGGAATGTGTGCAGAGGAGGGCAGCCAAGATGATCAAGGGTCTGGAAATGAAGCCTAATGAGGAACAGTTGAAGGAGCTGGGTATGTTCGGCCTGGAAAAGAGGAGATTGAGGGGAGATATGATAGCCCTCTTCAGATATCTAAAAGGGCTGTCACACGGAAGAGGGAACAAGCTTGTTTTCTCTTGCTCTGGAGGGTAGGACTCAAAACGAATGGTTTCAAATTACAAGAAAGGAGATTCTGATGAACAGTGAAAGCTGTTCAACACTGGAACAGATTACCTCAGGAGGTGGTGGACTCTCCTTCCTGGGATATTCTAAAGCAGAGGTCAGATGGCCATCTGTCATGGGTGCTTTAGCTGAGATGTCTTCATTGCAGGGAGCTGGACTAGATGACCCTTGGGGTCCCTTCCAACTCTACAGTTCTATGCTTCTATTATTCTAACCTTTTGTGGACAATAGTCCAAGCCATCAGATGCCTTGGTTTTGCAGAATAGGGAAGGCTGTGTGTATGATAGCACTATCACCCCTCCCTCTAGGACCTAAGTATGACATTGTGTCTCTGTGTAGCAGCACACCTTAACCGTTCCCTCCTGAACTGTGTCCCACTTCCCCCCAAAGTCCCCTCCATGGCTTCTAAGTGTGAAAGTAGAATTCCATTGGCTATAGTAGGAAACAGAGTAGAAGACTAATTGCTGCATGCAGGAATAGGAGGCTGTGAACTGGACAGGGAGGCCCCTTAGGCCACACCTTTGGCTCAGTGGTCTCTCACCCTGCACAGGGTGCTGATGATGATGTGATGGTGATGATTTACTGCCCTTAGTGGGCATGGTGGCATCTGATGATGTTACAGGTGTACAGTATGTACATGACTGATTCCTCCCCAACGAGGTTGCATGTGGCTTATTATAAATCCCTATTTGATAGTCCAAGTCAATTTCTTACTTGCAAGGCCCTTTCTTCTCCCAGTGCTGTGCAAAGACTCATCCAGGAAAAGTCCTTATAGAGATGGAGGAAGCAGCAGCTCCTACGTGCAACATTACCATTTGCCTTGCCCT